ACACAGACACTTGCACGTACGCACGCACGCACACACACACATATATAAACACACACACACACACAAGTCTCTGGGCATAAACTGAGTATGTTCCCTGAAATGCCCTGAAGTTGTTATCTTAAAGTGGCATCCTGGAGCTTGAGGGTGGGAGGGTGCGTGACTTGTGGAGCAGATTTGTAGCATCCCCAAACAGTCTAGTACACACTGCACACACACACACACACACACACACAAATTCCTATACACAAGTTCATACATACGTTGATACAAACCAGCACATCTACTCTCACTTCCATACACACATGGCCGTGAGTCATAATTCTTACTTACTGTGCCATAATTAAGAGATACTCCTGAGAATTCTGGTTTTTATCATTCCTTTCTTTTCATCTCTTTCCCGAGGGGAATGTGCTGCTATAGATGATAATTTATGCATGGGAATCAAATCACAAACACATATATGTAATCTACATATAATCCTCTTTTTGCTTTATTCTATAGTTGACAGACAGACAAGTAACACAGGGAGTCAAGGGGGCATGAAATTCACAATGTCATTGGCTGGAATCCAACCCTGGTTACACAGATGTGAAACAGGGACATCCTCTACTTTGGCATAATTTTGGGATTCTGTGTTTCCTCTGGTCAGACTTGCGTCACACACTCAGCACAGGGAGAACAGAGAAGCCCGGATGTCCTCGGCTCACCTATCTGTCCTCTTCTCCGTCACAGTTTCATATTTTTATCGCTCTAACTTTCTAGAACTATCCACAAAACCCACTGAGGTTGAACCTGAGGCCAGCACAATAATAGCCTCACGAGATGGAGCAGTAAATGGAACTGAGGTGTAGAGAGGAGAGATGTATGCACCTTTCTCTGCTGAAGTGGAAAACGGTGACTCGTGTCTAAATCATTGACGAAAAGCGAGGGAAAAGTACTTGAGGAGATACTCACACAGAATTACTGTACAGCTGATTTTCCAGAAGAGTGAAAAGAAAGTTGGTTTGTGTAAATGCAGAGTAAAAACCAATCTGTTGTTTCTCATCGTGACTGAAAAGCAGTTCCACTGGATGAATCGTTCTAAATGTTACTCACTGTTGTAATTCTATACACAGCTTTTTTTTTTATGTTTACTCCTGTGCTGCCTTCCAACTTTACTTTTCTTTAGCTAATCACCTGAAAAATCAAACAGCTGTGATTTCCAGTGGCCTTTTTACTTAAAAAATACATAGCGGTGTGATACTTTAATTCTGAGAAAGTTAACTTTTTTACCTTTTTCTTCAAAAAAGTAGAAGCACTTAAAAAGCTCATCCTTATCTAATCTGGTTTAAGCATGAGTGGAAGGGAAGAGAATAATTATGCAAAAGTTAAATCAAGTTATAGGGATAATTACAGATTTAGATTAATTCAGCCTCATATTTGAATGACATGCTAAGAGGAAGCACAGCTTATTTTTTCCTGTGCATTTTTCTGCTTCAAATATAATCATATCATTTCATCCTCAAGAAAAAACTATATTTCTTAAAGGCATCACCACCAAGCACCAAGTGATACTCAGTATTAGACAACCATCATGACATTGGTAATGCTGCACCAAATCACTGGGTACTACCACTGTCTACGCACAGGTCAAAGCTGTCTTCAGACTCAGCACTTCATTTCCCTTCATTAGGCTGACTCTCTGTAAAGCTGTCCACAAGGATTTGACATCAATTCTAATTTGTTGCACTTTGAAGTCTCATTAATTCACAATTACTGGGAGAAAAAGCAGGAGAGAGGAGGATGGAGAGGCCAGTGAGAATGAGTGGGTGTATAAGAAAGAGACAGAGAAGTGAACAGTGGTGGTACAGTGGTTTGAATGCCAGGGTGCAGACAATATTGGCTTTCTGAAGGCTGATTATGATCTTTTTCAGCTAAGGAGGCCGACAACTGATATTTTGTGCAATTATCTTTTGGTATGCAGATTTCTGCCTAAGTAAATGACAGTTAATATTAATGTAACTGAATATGAATCATCCTCACAAATACTTGTGTGGCAAACTGCGTCACATCAGAGGTGGAGCACAGAGACAGGCTGGCTTTCTAATAAAAGGCTGAGATCTGCATTTTGAATACATCCTGTGCACAGAGGAGGTGAAATAAAAGATGTGCTGGGCCATTGTGGAGAAGATTTATTGAGTCACATCCAACATTACAAAGAACACGGTACAAAGAAAGCTTTACTATGCTGTTAAGAACAGTAAGAGGCGAGGGGTTCAGAGACAGGGGCTTAGGATTGAGCGATGAGAACAGATATGGAGGGAAGTTCATCTTCTTAGCGATGAGACTGGAAGCTCACACTGCACACCACCTAATAGTGGTTGACCTTTGCAGAGTATGGCTAATCACTTAACGGCAGAATCAGACTGGACTGGGTTTAGTCTCTCTCCTGATTGTCTGGATTTGGAACAAGTCAAGGCGCAAACCTATCCCTAAAATATGCAAGCTTTGGTATTTTATTGTTAGAAACATGATAAGCACAGGGTGTTTTTGAACCCTGACACTGGAGACGCAGAATAAAGGATATGAATGAGTGATAATGATTTAAATTTACCACAGACACTATATCACTGATCGATACAATGCTTACAAGTAGCAGAGGTAGTGTTTCTACTACTGCTGCTCTCAAGTGCATGTTCTCTTCATGCTTTCCCACACCTTACTATCCACTCTTGCTGCATTTATATTGTATGTCAGGGGGTGGGTGAGTTGGGGTGTGAGGTGACCGTGACACAAGCTGTGTATATCATACATTTTTCACAGATTTGTTTGGCGGTATAGACATAATTACTGTTTTTTCTCTGGAAAAAGAAAAATAACTCCTTTCTACAATTTCTATAAGATGGGACTGAGAACAAGTAGCCCTAAAAAAAAACCCCAAAAAAAAAAAAAAAAAAAAAAAAAGCTAATTTAGTTTAGTTACTCTTCCATTATGATTTATCATATAATATCATATACCTTTGTACTACACTGCTCCCTACTGGCCATGCTGCAGGAATAGTATTAGTACAGGGAATGTCCTTGGGTGGTAATGAGGCATGAAACACAGTAAGTGTTCCTCCAGCTGTAATAACTCATCACATCGTTGCCGTGGACACTGTGTGTCTGTAAGTACTTAGCTTTACCAAATACTACACACTGTCACACATTGCAGTTAAAAATAAATTACATCTCACAGAAGAGTCACATCTTGTTTTAATCAGAGGACTTGTTAGATAACTATATAGCTTTTATCAAGAAAGTTAATTGCCGGCGCAATCACCTGAGAATGATAACATTTGTGCTCACTTTGGCTTTGGCTGGCAACTTGTTCAATTTTTGGAAGTTTGCTAAATATTTCCTGACTCACAGAGAGCAAATTTATCTTCAAATATTAAAAATACTTTAAGAAGTATATTTTAGATTCACATTCAATGAGAGCACTCCTGGTTATGCAAAAGGGTTTCTTATGCCAGTAGTCGCACTGAGAATCAACACATCACTCCGCAGCTGCCTGTAACTTTCAGCTAATTCGTTTAATTACCTGGATCAACAAAACCAATACGCTGGCAGCTATTCCCAGAATAGAAGCTGCTACAAGATAACGCTACATGTTCAGTACAAAACAAACGGCAAAGAAAATGAATGACTGGTGAAGAAAGTGGAACACAAGAATGAAGTTTTTTGTAGGTGGCAAGAAAAATACGAATAAAGGGATGTGACATTATTAGGCTCCATACAAACTCTAAATAACTCTGCCTTTTTAACTGTAATGTAATGTATTATACCAGTATGGATCATACTGTATCAAAGCCAAGTGGGCCATATTCAATTTTTAGTTTAAAACCAATTTTTTTTTTCTGACAGTCTAACAATAGCACTGTCTAACCAATAAGCTAATTCTCACGATAGATGCTGCATAACAATAGCAGCCCTGCATATAGTTACATCAAGTGTCATGTTCACCAAGTTTGAGAGCGTTCCCGGAGGTGAACTCATCAGGAAGTTCCAAGAATTAAGCGAAATTCACCAAAACACTGACAAAACAGTGAGTTAGTGAGATGAGAGGGTGCGCGGATGACGATGACCTTGTTAGACATCATTTACCAACACCTCCCACTCAAACAAGTAACAACATTACACAAATAATGAGACGGAACTGCAACATTTGGCAGCTGGCAAGACGCAGCAGTGATGTTGTTATCACACAAAACGATGAGACCTGCAACCGGCTTGTACTGCAGTATTGTGTTTCTTCCCCCGTCAGATGTGTTCACCATGCAAACTATCAAAATATCATTCGGTACCAGGTTTCCTTTTTGTTTGGTCACAGTCTATTAAACCACCACATTTAATCAGGTTTGCCAATATGGGCCGGTAATCATACTAACTGGTCAGTCATAAGTCATATTTGACACTTCCTAATTGTTTTCAAAACAAAACCATCCATTTCTCTGATTATGAAACACTATTAGAAAAGCCTACTGCCTCCTGATTCTGTTGTTTAGCGAGAATACACATTGCACGTTACTTTGAGTTGTTGTTTGTGGACTAACATTGTTCATGATAGCTGAGCAGGTCTTGTTACTTTATAAAGTGTAGGACACAGTCTTGGATCCATTACAAACTGATGTTTTCAGGCCAAGCATTACTCAAACCCAAACCCATCACATCAGGTTTCCAAAAAAACCAAATATGCGAAATACAGGGAACCTGGATAAGAACTGAGTGGTCATAAAAACGGGCCTTGTATTTGAATGTTTTACACCCATTTTAGTTTCATAGAGTTTAAACAAGATGATAAAGAATACGATTTTGTCAGGTTATGTGAAAAAGTGTTTTTGTCTTTTTAAATTTTTTTTTGAAGAACCTTCAGCTACAATTAAAACAAATCCTAAAGGAATACACAAATAGTAACACAGTGTTTTCATGTGGTGTGATCTTTCAGCCCCGGTACACGAGTAGCCACGAGGTTTTTGATCTTACATCTCTTTGTGTCCCAGCACAGCGTCGTAAATCTTCCCAGTGAGGTGGTGCTGGATGTTGGTGAAGCCGGCAGCAGCAAGCAGGGCGGCGTACTGGGCGGCAGTCCTCTCCCTGCCCTCCGTCTGCACCAGCATGTTGAGGGAGTAGAGCTGCACTGTTAGCGGGCCGGAGCCGTCCTCATGGAGCAACGCCTCCACCAGCAACACAGCGCCTCCTACAGAATCAACCAAAACGTCAGCTTTGTTTGTTTATTTCTTTTGGTCTGTCTCTTTTGTCATTTTCTTCTCTTTCTTTGTTTCCGTCTCTTCTTCTATAATTGACAGGTCTCCTGGCAAAAGCCTTGCCAGCTAAGTAGTAAGTCTTTACTTTGAATGCTCAACTACTTAATTTCATTTAGTTATTTTGAAACAGTAATGCAATCACGGTAGCATTAATGTTTACGCTTATGACTTCACTGTTGAGCTTCCTATCGACCTTTTCCACTGCTGACATTTTGCACAATAGAATTTTCAAACACAGGTGAAACTCATACCATTGTTGATTGCTGCATTGCAGTAATTAATGTCATTAGTTTCACCTGTGTGAATCCTGCCACATCAAAATGTCTGTTGTGAAAAAGGCCTTTTCTGTGACTCCACTGAGAAGTAGGTTGTATTCACCGTCAAGTAAAACTAGGCTTCCCTACTTTCTTTATGTCTTTGTCTTTCTTCCTTGCTCTCTTGGACACACACGCACGCACGTACACACACACACACATACACACACACACACACAGATACACAGGCAAAAACACATGAGAGGGTTTTCTGCCTCCTGATAATGTCTGCTGCTTGTGTGTGTGTGTGTGTGTGTGCACGCGTGTGTGCTTGTGTGTGCATGTGCGTGTATGTGTGTCTTTGATCAAAGTCAGAAGGACAGATTCTTCTGGGATCAGCTGCATTGTGGGATACAATCTGCCATCTCATTTCAAGCAGGAGAAAAAGTACTCATCCCTTTCACACTCAAAGACACACACACACACACACACACACACACATACACACACACACACACACACATACACACACACACACACACACATACACACACACACACACACACATACACACACACACACACACACATACACACACACACACACACACATACACACACACACACACACACACACACACACAGACCTGGATTGCAGGCTTTGTAGATTCTACTAAGTAGCTCTATGCAGCGTTCGTCTGTCCAGTCGTGTAGGATTCTGGCAAGGATGTAGAGGTCAGCCTCTGGCAGGGGGTCTTTGAAGAAGTCTCCTAACATAACACGCACACACACATAAACACACGTACACACACATCCACATGCACAATTCAAATGCACTGTATTTGTAAGATGATGCTATATTTGATTTAATAATTTTTTTTAATTCTGCTGACGGGCCCTCTAGTAATAAGGCAACGACTCTATTAGTGGTTTACATACTCAAACATAATTACTACAAAGGGGTGATGCCTGCTGCAATCAAATTATGTCAAATGCATCTGACCTAACAGCTGATTGCAGCATATTTTGAGCTGCCGTCTAACATTCAGTGATAGACTAGTTATCAGGGAAAAGACATGATTTGGGGATTTTTGGTTACAAGTGGTTTGTTTAACTTGTTTAATTAATGATAATTAATAAACAACACTGCTGTTATTTATTAACAGTGGATAAACAGTAATGGTAAAATTAAGAAAAATGTATAAAATACATTTGTATCCAATTCCATGTGCTTGTTGTCCATCATAACCATGACTGCAAGTTAATATGAAATAAACTTCACAGAGGTATCCATTCATCAAAATAAAATAAAAAAAGAAATGAAAAAAGAAATAAAAGAACCAGACTCAAAATCAGTACATTTCATTTTTTTGTGTTACTGTTACTGTTTGTGCTATGTTACTGTTCCTGTGGCGTTCAACACCGTTGTGGGTATGAGAACAGCAGGAGAGGCAGGAATTGATTTTGGCTCTGGGTTTTCAAGACTGCAGGCCACTGTGAACTTTTCTTTTTTTCCACATGAGCTGCTGTATGGAGACCCAACACAACAAGAGAAGCGCGAGGCATCAGTTCACAGCTTTCTACGAAATATTTTTAAATCCAACAGCAACAGATCAGTGGGAGAACGGAACCACACTGGTGACAACATCAAGGGTGTCTTATTCTCCCTTCATTTTCAGAACAGATCCAAACATGATTGTAGTGTGTATTGACAAAAAACGCTGAGTGCACAGTAATGATGGACAATGGAGACTTGCACACCTCATACACTGAATTTAATATCTTTAAAAGATGTTTTGCAGACTCACTTGCCTATCTAAAGAAATGTTTTTGTTTGATTTTAAGCAGAAAGACTGTTACAATGCCAAAACCAAAATTCAACTGAGATTTAAATGTTACGCGTCTACTACTGCATCTCAGTTACCTGTCAGTTGCTTTTACTTTGGAATTTTGTTCAATGTATCAGTGTCCGACTAACACTGGGTTTTTGAGGCGATTCTGATACAAACATTTGGGAGTTTCAAAAATCTGATAACAATATAGTGTATCAGCCAAGAAACAAACAAAAGCATAAACATTCTTTTTTTTAAATAACAAAAAAAAAAGGCTCAGCAATTTCCTGAAGCAGCAGGGCATGTTTAGTTTCTAGCCAGCTTTGCTCAAACATGACTAAATTCTGCATATGGTGGGGACTATTTTCAGCAATGGATGTGGTGCACTAGTGAGTATTTATGGCACCATGGAGTTTGTGAAGTACAGTGTGTGTGTGTGTGTGTGTGTTCACAGTGATAAAAGAACATGTTACCCAGGGCAATGGTGCGGCTCATTAATGTGTTTTTAATTCATTAGTTTTTGAAGGACAGAGTCACCGGGTCTATGGCACAGAGGAATACATTATATCACACTTTTGCTACACAGGCACCATGTTGTTAATCCTCTCAAGTTGAAAGGTCACCTAACTTCACCGTCGCTTTCTGTGAACTGGTACATGCCAGCTTTGCTTATGTAATTAGCAAGTTAAAAAAAATAGACATAACATGGATACTAATCAATTCTGAGAAGATTCAGTCAATTTTTTTTTCTGTGAATGTTTTTTGACATAGATCCGTTTTTACAAAGCTTATTGAAAATTTTATTCTGGGAAAGACTAGAAGACTGCAGGTATTACTGTTTTTATATATAGTATTAGTAGGTGTGTGTGTGTGTGTGTGTGTGTGTGTATGTAAATCTGTTTACACTACATACATTATGAGGACTTGTCTTTGTTAAAAAACAAGTCCCCATAACATATATTATTAGATTTTAAGGTGAAGACACGTTTTGAGGTTAAGGTTAGGGTTAAACAAGTAGTAGTTATGGTTAAGGTTAGAGTTAATCTCTCGGAAATTAATAAAAGTCAATGTAATGTCTTCTGAAGTCATCAAGACGCAATTCTGTGTGTGCGTGTGGAACTGCACTTGAACTGGCTGTATACGATTACGACAAATGTCAAGTGATTTCACCAAGTCGTAATGACGTTACCTTGGTGGAAGCTTATCCTCTGGTCAGCCTCGCTGACAAAGTGTTCCCTCGACATACGCACCACCTTGGGGAGGTCAAAGATCGTCACAGTGCATTCTGGGTAGGCTGACGTGCACTGCTTGGCTAATGCTCCACTGCAGCCTGGAGAGTGAGGGAGCGTGTGTGAGAGAGAGAGTTACTTTTAGTTACGGCACAATGAATACACAAAGTCTTTATTAACAAGGTCGTGGATCACTCACTCTCTCTCTCTCACACACACACGCACACGCACGCACGCACACGGACACACACACACACGCAGAGAGTCACACAAGCGTAACAGATGCTTTCAGGTATGTACCCATTATTTATTTGCATGATTTGTATTCAGTTGTATGTGGCGGCTTTGGGAATATGGTTCATCTAACATTCATGCCAATAAGCCAGAGTGAATTGAGCTGAATGTAAAGTGACAGAGAGAAAGACGCTTGATATAGAAACAGAGCAGAGCTGCTGTCTAGGAATCCTAGTAAGGGAATACAATCTAAGGAAAAGCAAACACAAACATACAGGACACACACACACACACACACAGACAATTTGATTATCTGGCTAAAACAGATTTCATGTGCATTCAAATATGAACCCTTACTTTGTAATGCATTTGAAAATCCTTGTTTTTAGCCATGGTAACATTATGGCTCAAAGGATGGTAAAGTCGGCCTGTACATCAGGCAGTCAGGGCACTACTTCGGTCTAGACTGAAACATCTTGACAAAATTTAGATTTTTCCAGCCTCAGCTGCACCTTGCTTTCACTGCAAATCAGCAAATCTCACCATGATAAAATACTAAACTAAAATGGTGAACGTGGGAAACATTATACCTGCTATGCATCAACATGCTAGCATTATCATTGTGCACATGATAGCATTCTGATATTAGCATTTAGTTCAGCCTTACAGCGCCGCTAGCATGGCCATAGACTGCTGCTTTTGTCCTGCTTACTTTTCCTCATAGAGAGAACTGTAACTTTTTGTAGGGTAGAGGTCAGACCCGATGATGTGAGTGGAAAATAAGGCATTGAAATGAGCATGAGAACTCACACACACACACACACACGCAAAGGCGGAAACTGGGATTTAATGTAAAAATATGAAACTTTTGACTTGATCCCTTGGCAGCATTATTATCATCGTTTATGCTTCATGTAGCAAAGTGAATTTAAAACAGAGAGAGACAGAGAAAGTGACGGATAGTGATAGAGAGAGAAAAAAAAGAGACTGGGAAAAAGAGGGTTTTAGATGAAGAATGTATAAATGGGATAGAGTAATGGAGAGGCAGTGAGGTGGAATACAGGATCAAAGGATCTCACTTTGACAAACCTACAAAGCCAGCCACAGTTGGACTGGTGTGTTTGTGTGTGTGTGTTTAGAGGGCAAACTGTCTAGCCCTGCAGTGCCTTCCTCCTAACATGACCTGCTGCTACTTTATCAGTCTATATTCTCTCTCTCTCTCACTCACTCACACACTCACACACTCACACTCACACACTCACACACTCACACACTCACACTCTCTCACACACACACACACACACACACACACACACACACACACACACACACCTTGGCTCTCACATCAAACAGAGGTCAGCAGAGGATAAAAATCAAAGAGCAGCAAGGAGGAACAAAACCAAACACAACACGCTGCACAAGACCCCGAGCTTACCTGGCTGCCTCAGTTTGTTAATGAAAGCCTTTGATGGGAGGTTTGTGATTGCTACTGTTGTATCATTGTTATGTTTTCTTCTCTCTCTCTTTTTTTTTAATGTTTTTTCATTCTACGTACTTTGTCTGCATGTTATCTGATACGCATTTACTCCACTGTGGAGAGGAACCACTGATGACGCCTCAACATGGCGGCCACTCAGTCTGTGAAAAACGTCTCTATTAAGTCTTCTGTGGCTGTAGTGGGAGCTTTCTAAAGTCTGAGAAAATAATCCCTGATGATGTTTTCAGGGTTATCTCAGCTTGGAGACCTCAAGAATTTTTTAACAGCAACATTTACCACAGGGGAGTAAACACCAGTTTAATAACACTAATCATAATAATGATAATGAACATTTTTTAATCTGCCCCTTGCAGGTCCCCCAACTTTATGGAGCTGAGATACTAAAACACTGGATTATCTCACTAAAGACACAATAGTCCAATGTTAACAAAATGTTCATCCCACCTCCACACAGTCAGAACCTGCTCTGATTATCAAACTGAACGGCAGGTCTTTAAATACATGGACAGCATCTTTTAACATTTGATCAATAGTTTAACTGTCTGTGTTTAAAATACATAGCAACATGAGGGAAATAGCTGTTTAGGTTAAAAAAAAAAAAAACATGACGCTTCAGAACCGCAAATATCGTCAGAGTAGCTGTAACCTTTAAGCTCATTATATATTTTTAAACATGTACCACTGAAATGTTTGTTAAATGTCACATTAAAATAAATGTAGATGCTTCGCACAGGCAGCCAGCACAGAGCAAACCACCTTCATTAAATAAATGATATACAGTATACTCTGAATGTGGACTTGTACCTGAATTGGATTCACATCAGCCAGTTGGCAGCTAGTTGGACAGTCATACATACAAACAGACTGGACACCTGAGCAGCAGGTGTGTATAGACACAACAGATGCTGTGTGAGAGACAAAGTATTAATGGGACACTGCAGTCACGCCCTTCACACTCCTGCTGTCCACTTGTACACTCTTTTTTTTTTTTGGTGATGCACCTTCATGCATAAACATGAACACACAACACCATGCTGAGAAAGTCACAGAGAGAAGAAAAGAAAAGACAGGAAGGCTGTCCAGGGTGTGTGTGCATGTATTCACACATTTGTATGTGCTTTAGTGTGCTTTTCAGTGGCTTCACAGCTCCCCTGTGTGGTCAGCTGAGGTGTCACACACGGGACGTTTAAGTGAAAATGACAGCTGATAAAACACATGTATTTTCTTGGCCTTTGTTTGTTGACACACTTTCTGTTATCTTTCTTTCAGTCTGGTTAGAGTGGGTTTTAAATGCCTCTAAGCTGATTTAACACAGTGGGACTTCTCCAAATCATAAAATACTGGATTTTCATGGAGAATGTGTTGGATCATTTCAACTTGATTATCACTGAGCATAAGTCTCGTGTGGACAGAGCGACGGACGAAACGTTTGTTTTGAAATGTTTACATCACTGCTACATTGTCATTCATCATATGCTAGTTTTGACCGGTTGAGGAGCACAGGAGCGGAGACAGGGTTCAGCTCTCACTTCAGCTGAGAACACAGGATGAGACAAAATGAGAAAGCACAGATAACATTTCTCATACTAAAGCCCCCCCCCCGCCCCCCCCCCCCCCCCCCTATTTTCATATCATGAACGTTTTCAGCAGGAGATGAAAACTCTTATGACACTGGAAGATTAATTTCTACGTTCTCATATTCGTTTTCATCCTCTCTTTTTGATCCTGCTCTGTTCTTGGCTTGTCTCTACATTTCTTGGAAGCTCTTGCTGCACATTGTGGAGTTCATATTGTGTTTGTTCTTTCCGTTTTTTTCCCTCACATTGGTATCATTGTGTTATTTGTTCTCAGCGTAAAGCATTTTGTCAGGAACATGCTGTTCAAAGACATTTTACAAATAAATCTGACTTGACAAAGCAGAACACACAGAGAAAAGTGACGAAAGCTGACTTTTTACCTTCACGTATCCACAGAACACTTTTTACCACCCAACACTGGCCCCATCTTATATCACAGACCTTATTCTCTGGCACTCAGCTCCTAGGTCTTTTAGATCTGACAACAAATCTCTCCCGCGACTCAAACTAAAAGGTGACAGAGGTTTTGCAGTTGCTGCTCCATGATTGTGGAACTAGCTGCTCTTAGAAATTAGATGTGCTCCCTCCATCTTTTTAAATCTAGGCTAAAGACACATCTTTATTCACTGGTCTTTTTGGCCCACTCATCTTTTATCTGTTGTAATGTCTATAACTCTGTATTAGTCCCTGGTTGGTAATTGGTGTCGTTAGTATGCTTCTCTTTGAGTTTTTACTTTATATTTAAATGTCCTTTGTGGAGCACTTCGGTCAGCTTAAGCTGTGTTTAAATGTGTTTCAGAAATAAACTTTGGCAGGAGACTGCCATTAAAGCTTCACATTCCTACATTTTACACTCACAGAGCTGTTCACTTCAACCTGTCTTGAATGCTACATTAGTCTGCAGCAAATTAGAGCTACATGTTTCTGGTGATAGGGCATTAACATCAAGATCAGGCTGTGCAAAAAAATCAAACAAAGCCAATTAGAAATATTAATACAAACTTATAGCAAAACACCGTTTTCACATTGTGAGGATTGTGAGGACACTGAAATGTCACACCAATAAGAAAACAGGTAAATTTCTTTATCCACCTCTCTTGGCTGTCATACTACAAAATGACATGTTCGATAAGACGGTTAGACAGACATTGCTTGGTGTTAGCAAGTTCGGTCGCTGCTCTGCCACTTCTGACTCCCTGCTTTCAGAGTAGAAGAGCACATAGTTCAAGTGTTCTTATAGACGACTTTCTGTGCCAGCTTTCAAACGCATAAGCAGAGTATAAACGGAGAGAATAATGTGCATCTTTAAATTCATCCACATTCTTGGGGCCAGGACATGAGGTTAAAACAACAGAAAGCAGATATTATTTAGACTTTGATTTTCTTGTTAGACGTTCATACCTCATGGGACAAGAATTCAACTGAAACCCAGACATTAAAAAAATTGTGAATGTCCTAGCAGCTTGTTAGTGGGTGATCCGCCACACCCTCTCGGTGGCGGCAGAACTGTGGGACTTTATCAAAATATTTTTTAACAATTTAATGACAATATCGAGGATGATGACAATAATTGGCCAATACTTGATATTTAGTGACAAAGTAAATGTTGACCTTACGTGTCTTTAAACTTATCCAAACATACACATATATATGTTCAGTGTTGTAAGAAAATGTAAATGAAAATGTGTATTTATGTACTGTAAACTGTTTTTCTCAAAGACACACAGTAATGTAACAGTGACAAAGTGGCTGGATATCAAGGGAAACTCCAGGTGGAGGTGACTTTGAGAGTATCGAGTGTTGTGATGGTTGACTGATTTATAAAGAGACAGTAACTAGCAGAGGCCGGGGGCAAGTCTTATAAAGGTCACAGTTGACAGTGTGTGTTGTGCTTTTTTTTTTTTTTTGCACACACACACCACACTGTACTGTATAAATATGTGTGTGGCTAGGCCAGCTGTCACTCAGTTAGCATGACACAAACAATTTTAAATGTTAATGACTGTGAACCCACAACCTTATGGAAATTAGATATGATGACTTGATAAACACACACACATGCACACATGCACACACACACACACACACACTTACCTCCAAGGTCGCAAATGACCTTGAAAGGCGAAAGGTCAAAGGCCGTGATCACGTCTTCACCACAGATGTTCCAAATGGAGTTCATTAACTGCATAAATTTCACCATCTCCTCATCAGACCTACACACACACACACACACACACACACACACACACACACACACACACACGCACACACACACACACAAAGAAAAAATAGCAAGTCTTCTTTTTATTATGTCCTCTCTTTCATATATGTCTTTCTGTATTGAGGCTTGTAAGTTGTAAGCAGACAAACAAACTCACATGCACACGCACACAAACGTGTCGCCACAGGAAACTTTGTATACAAGGGGAGGTGTGTGTGTGTGCGAGAGAGAGAGAGAGAGAGAGAGAGAGAGAGAGAGACAGACAGGGTGCAACAGAATAGAATAGCCTGTGGTGACTGCTGCTGCTCTGAGGAATCTCCACCTCATCAACCAGCACTCTGCCCAGCCATGACGGCTCTCTCACTCACACACACACATACACACACACACACACACACACACACACACACACACACACACACACACACACACACACACACACACACACACACACACACACACACTCTCTCTCTCTCTCTCTCTCTCTCTGAGCATCCTCTGTTCTGTAACACAAGAATTGGTTTATCCAAACTTCTCTTCCCTGTAGCAAACCAATCAGCCTTCTTATGCATGAGCCAACTTCAGATGGCACACTGACCTCCAGAAGGACTTTGAAAGTGACTCATTGTTGCAGCTTCAGACTCTGATTACATTGGAAGTGAAAAGATGAAATGACTGTGAGGCCAAACGGCAGACTGTCAGCTTCAATTTTGAGAACATTTTAAACACATGTATCGAATGCCCCCAACGACAACATCTGCAGCTCTTTTTTACCACGATGGAGTAAATTTGCGTGCACACTATTTCATCCTGTCTCCATTCACATTGAGGAAAATAGGCTTAGCCGGCCTATCTTTGTCCTTGTATACATCATTATAACATCACGTGGTTTATGATTTGGCACAGACATGTCCTCAACATCGCTGCAGGTCTCTGTCATTTCTCTACTGACTCAGTTACTGTTTGGTCCATGGCTGCCTGATCACTGTTCTGTGTTTTACTGCTGTCTTGTTGCTTTGGCTTCCCTGTCTTCTAAGCAGTGATAATAGAAAAGAGTCACTTAACTCATTAAACATTCAGAGTGCTGCTGAGAAAAAGTAAGTGAACCCTTGGTTTTAATAACTGGTCGACGCTCCTTTGGCAGCAATAACCTCAAACAAGCTTCCAGTAGCTGCTGATCAGACCTGCACAACGTTCAGGAAGAATTTTGGACCTTTCTTCCAACAGAACTGCTCCATCTCAGCAATATTCTCAGGATGTCTGGTGTGAACAACTCTTCAGGTCATTTCACAGCATCTGTACTGGGTTAAGGTCTGGGCTCTGACTGGGCCAATGCAACATTCATTCTGTAGTTTTCCCAAGTAGTGTTGTGGAGTGTCAAGCTTCTCTTTGGCAAACTTCGGGTGTGCAGTGATTTTTTTTTTTATTTTATTTTTTTTTATAGAGAGAGCAGTGGCTTCCTCTATTCCTGCCACAGACATTATGCTCCATTCAACCATGCAACATGATTTGCATATGGTAGACTCATGAACACTTTCAGCTTCATACAAATCAACAATTCTTGACACTGAGTCTTCTGAGATCTCCTTTTTCTGAGACACGTTTCACATCAGCAGATGCTTTTTGTGAATGTCAAACTCAAAATGTTTTTTTTATAAGTCAAAGATAGCTGTAACCTGCACATCCAATCTGGTTTCATTGATGGGGCTCTAGTTTTGATAACTCCTGACCTTTGTTAATGTCATTAGCCAAGGGCTTCACATACTTTATCCAACTTACACTGTGGATATATGAATGATCTATTCAATATGGACAAAAACAATACAATGATTTTTATGCCTCAGTTTCCATCTGTCCCATTCTCATGAACAAGATATCTCAGTAACACATTGAGGGAATTTCTTCAAATTTGGCACAAATGCTCACTTGGACTCAAGGATGAACTGATTAGATTTAGGTGGTCAAAGGTCAAGGTCACTGTGACCTCATTAAACACATTATTGGCCATAACGCAAGAATTTATACGCTAATTATTAATAACTGTAACTGACCATATTTTGGTCATATTTTGGGACAAATTTGAGATAAATTTATACTTAAGTGCAGGTAATTCCAAAGGGTTCACTTAGTTTTTCCTACCACTGTAGTACAAAATCTTAATTAAAAATTGCTCCCTCTGCTTTTTATTCGTTTGTAGGAGAATCCCAGGCAATTCCAAGCAAAAGCTTTCAGCCCACTCACTGGTCAGTGTCCCTGGCTCAGATCTGTGTTGTGTGTGGTGGCCTGCAGTGCTGTCTACCACAGTGTCTTTTATGGTAGTACCACTGTGGGCACTAAAGTTGTAAATTCTGAACATATTTGTGTCTGTATTTACAAAAGGCAGTAGATATAAAAAATGCTGTTTTATGGATGAATCTTTTATCATTTTCTGTTAGCATAAAAAGTACACTAATTGCCAAAATAATCAATAAACAATTCACGCTTTACAGCTTTATGATAACCAAGGTGACCAGATGACCAGATGACCAGAATAAAGGTTTAATCAGACATCTATAAATGTTCATCTGTAGGATTAAAAATGTGTTACTATGCAATGTCTTGAGTAAGTGTGAAATCTCAAAACCTCTCTCAATCCATTCCCTCTTTCCAGTTTTCCCTCCAAATCCTTTCTTCTTTCTCGAGTATGAGAATTCAAGCTGTAGATGGGACTGGGCTGTGAATTATTCAGGTGCAGTACATGGCTGGTTAAATGGCGATGAGTAAACAGGAGTCTGAGTCATCCAGCGAGCTACGGCTCATCCCACTTCTGCTACAGCGCTCCAAGAATGCAGTGAATGACTTCAGTGGTTGTTTCCCCTTGCTAATTTACCCACAGTATTCACAGGGGAAATCAGCGGGGACAAACAACTGCTTCCCCACATTAAATCAATTGTGCGCAGGTGCTGAATTTTTTCTTGTAGGGTATTTTCATTTTCAATCAATTAAAACTGAATTGCAAATTCATTTGCACGAGGGTATGTGACATTATGTGTGCATGGTTCGTATTCTGAATATTCTCATTTTGCATGCATCATTTTTTAATGAGGCGGTTTCTGTGAGATCAGCAGCTGCTTTTCGAAAGAACATGAGAACAAAAATTTAAATGGCAAATACAGAAATACAGCAATATATGCACAAGTCTGAGCTACAAGCAACATACAAAAACCTAGATTGCATGAAATGTCAAAATCCAGAGACAACAAAATGTATGGTAGATTACATCCACCTCACATCTACTGAAGGAGTGCATTTTCAAATTTGAAAATATGCACACTGTTATCGGTACATTTCATTTTATTATTACAATGTAAAGCAGTAATGAAAATGTGCACTTCAACATCTGTTTCATCTTCCATTCTCCTTCCATCAGTGTACAAAGGTTTGCAAATCATGCCATGATGAGAACAATGAGGGAGGGTGTTTTAGCAAGTTACTCCACCGTGTTTCAGTGTTTTACAGTGCAGGGCCTCAGGCAGGCCGATCAAAATCTATTAGCAAACAAAGTGTGAAACTTTGAGTGTGTGACCCCTGAAAACTGCTGACCAGCAGATCAGTGAAGCGTTAAAACTGTGGGCACTAGATACTATAAACACACGAGACCTCAAGGACAATGGCAGATGTAGTCTCTCTCTCTCTCTGCCCCAAGCTTCCTCACATCACTGCCCACATCCTTCCTCTCTCTCTCTCTCTCTCTCTCTCTCTCTCTCTCTCTCTCTCTCTCTCTCTCACACACATCCCCTGCCTCCTAATGAATCCCACAAGTCAGTTTTTTTTTAGTTGGGAAGAGAGAAAAGAGTGACAGGCCAGCTTAAGATAGAGACAGGGATGGAATGTGAATGAGAAAGAGCGTGTTTCATCTTGTGTGTGCGTGTGTGTGTATGCGTGTGTGCGTGTGTGTGTGCGTGTGTGTGCATGTGTGTGCGTGCATGCGTGTCTTAAACAAAGAGTTTCTTACCTGTAGAGAGCTTCAAACAGGTCCTTAGAGCTGACTCCAAAAGCCTTTTCATACTGGTTTCTTCCCTCTCTAGGACATGAAAAAATATACACTGAATTAGTGACAACCACATGATATGGTGCTAAATGCATATTCTATATGGCTTGTTCACTCCTTGCATTTGTTAAGCAAGTGAACAAAATCTCTGATGTAGGTATTGATGATCTTACTTCAAATTAAAATTTGCTTCAGCTTCATCTCACAGTCACGGTTGAGCAAGACGGCATCAATAATATCTAGTGTTTTAAACATGAATTCACAATCATGTTCTGTCTAATTAGATACACAAAACACTTTCCTATTGTGCGCTAACTTGCACAAATAAATTGATAATTTAGATTGAATGCCTTTATCCTTTAGACATCACCTTTACTGATGTCTCTTTTTCAGTCAGTCCCACAGATGGACTCTACTTGTCAGCCACAGTGAATCCAGTCTTGCTTTCTTAGAGCTGCTGGCCGTCCTCCCTCAGACATAACAATGAGACTAAAATCCATCTTGAGACACTGTTCAAACAGAAAAGGAGGAACCTGAATCCACATCCTCAGGCTACGAATCACACCTGCAGTCCACACCTCCTCACTGCCGAACTGTGTGTGATTCTACTCTTAGCTGGTTCACTTAACCAAATAATATCAGTTCTTTTGCTGTAGCATTGTCTTTTTAACCTTGAACAGTTTTCTCAGCAGTGTTTTGTTTATTGTTGCTTTTGGTTTACCTCCCCTTGCAGCATTTTGTGTCTCCAAGTTATTTATTTATTTATTTTTTTTTATTGTATTTTTGTGACTAACAGATGCTCTAACAAAAAATAATCTTAAACTCTAAACTGTATGGGCCTGCAGGCAAACAAGCAAGAACAAATACAATTTACCAACAGAGGAACCAGTATAATCTGTCAAATTAGCAAGGTCTGTTAACTATTACAAGAAGCACTGTAGGCAATTTGAAAGAAAACACCATTCTTTTTGAAAACACTCCAGCTATTAATGTAACTGGTAAATATCTCTTGGCAACTCATGATTAGGGGGAAGACATCATTTTCTCAGACTTCTTAATCAACAATTTTTATAACTGAATTGTTCACGTCGTTCGTTAATGTCAAAATGTTCTGAAATGTAAAGATCTGTTTTTTATATCATTAATTGATAAAAAAAACGAATTTGTGCTTTGGTTTGTACTTTGGAAAAAAACATTTTTCACTATTTTCTTAGATTATGTAGAACAAAGATTGAATATATTATTTGAAACAATAATCAACAGATTAATAGATGTTTGTTGTAGCTGTAGTCTGACATCATCAACAAGGGAAAAGGTAAAAATGTACTAATATAAAAGCACTGCAATGTCACTCACAACTATCATTAAGTGCACACAAGTGTTGATCTGAAACATTCAAAGTATTCAGAAAATTTCAATCATGAAATTGTTTGATGCCATTAAACATAAAAAAAAGAAGTCATTTGTAACAACCTGCTGGGACCAGGATTGCATCTCGCCATGAATACTAAATAAATTCTTTCTAGTGTGAAATGTTTCCAAACTGCAGGCAGGGATCTGGCTGTGCTCTGTGTACTGACCTGACAGCATCAGTCAGGTAGTGCCAGCAGAGGTAGATGGTTCTGGAGTTGTACTGGATGGACTGGAAGAGAGATAATGGACTGGAACGCGTCAGGTAGACACTGGCCTGCTCTGTGTTACTGTAAAACACTGAAACAGATGGTGGGAGAGGTGAAGCAGGAGAGACACAGGAGGAGAGTGACTGTGAATGAATGACTGCAGATGTTTCACAGAGACAGACAGACAGACAGGACAGATGGAGGAGGTGTGCACAGGAGAGGTGCAGCAATCTGTATCTATAAGAATCTATAATGTAATTACTTTCTAACATGTGACAAGTGGACAAAATGAAATGAAAACATTGAAACAAAATGTAAGAACACTATCAGGGTTCAGACTTTGCAACTTGCGCGTATGTGTATGCTGACCTCGTCCTTGGTCCTGCTGCGTGTTGAGCAACTGCAGGCCTGTGCAGGCAGCCAGCAGTCTCTGTGTGCCATCCAGACTGGCACCCACCGCCTGACTGATCTCCTCTGCAGACAGGGGGCGCTCTGCACCCAGCAACACATCAAACACACCCAGCTCGCAGGACGCAAACACCGTCTGGGTCAGAGGGAGAGGAGACGCAGAGGCACGAAGAGTGGTGTAGAATCACAATAAAGTAGACAGTGTTCTATCTGCAGTGCCCCCTCACTTATTAAGTTCTATTGTTAGAAACTCATACCATTATATATTTATACTTATCAGGACATGGGCAGTAATGCCTTTAGTTATTTATTTCAACAAAAAGCACCACAGTTATGTGTCCACAGAAGATCATTTGCTTTGATGCAACACTTTATCATACACTGCTGAGTGACAGTAGGCTATCATTCACAGTGAAAGGATTAAAAACTCTATTATATGGCCTGTAAATACAAGGTTTTAATGAAACAAAACACAAGTGAATACAGTACAGTTGAAGGATGATGTGAGGTTTGATGTGATCCCTACAGCAGAATGCATTCACCAGTAACTCGTCTATTTGGACCATTACAGCTTTACTATACAGCATCTTTTACAATGTACGTGATGATTTTGTATGAACTCTGTAAAGAAATAGTAAATAAAAAGATCGGTAAACTGACAAAACAAAAATCAAAATAAAAACTTCGTTACTGCTACAGGATCAATTGCTCTAGTGAACTCTAAAGCCAAGGTAGGCCTTTTTTCACAGCAGGCATTTTGATGTCACAGAATGAAATGAACAGGTATAATAAATAATAAAAAAAATGAATGATAGCAGAATTCAATTTAGCTGCTTCAGTTGCAGGGTCCTGGTATTCTGCATGATGGCTCACTGTCATGGTTTACCTGGACACTTGAATAGAATGGGACCATTGCTAATGGCGTTTGTAACACCTGTGCTTTTTCAGCTATGACAAGTCAACATTTCTGCTGTGAAAAAGCTCTGTTGTGCCGGTAAGGTTAAAATGAGTACAGGTGCGCTAAAGGCCCATAAATGACCCGTGAAGGTTTGGCCACACACAGCATGTGCATGTTACCTTCGAGATAAGGAATCCTTCCATATACTCCAGTATTTTCCTGGGGTATGCGTCTGCAGCAGGTGTCCCCTCAGTTGAAGTCATCTCTTGACGTTCAGCCATGGCCAGGTTTTAGACAGGACACCCCAAAAACAATACTGAGTGTCGTGGTTCTCAGAGCTCTGCTACCTGTGAACTGAACTTCCCTTCAAGTCAGTCTCTTGAGACCCGTCAACAGGTGTATGTCTGAATGGCAGTGAGGACAAAAGCAGACTAAAGCTACAGAAAGTGCCCACCCAGCAGCAGCAGCAGCAGAACCAGTGAGAGTAGCAGTGGGCTAAGCTGATTACAGCCAGATAACCCAGATTAGAGCAGGGGTTCAGTCTGAGTTAGACAAAGAAACAACTCTGTGGCAATACACTGCTGCCTTGTTCATTATCACTCAGATGGAGACTTTCACTCATTCTCATACCAGAGTTTTCATGACCTCAAAACGTGGTCAACAATGTGGGACGGCCAAACCTTTGAGGGAATCTGTCCTGTAAAAGATGTGCTGCCCCTCTCCTCTCCATATGGTCTGATTGCACTTATGCTGAGAGACTAATGGTAGTTTCAAATCTAATGATACAGCCTGTCGCGTCACATGCCTTGATGGGATTACATAGACACTCATCAGTTTGACTATTCATCATTCATCCACACAGTTCATTAAACCAGAGGTGTACAGACAGGATACAGGTTGGAGTTGGGCAGGTTGTAACCTTGATCAAGGCTTTGGGGAAATAAGTTTATATATAGAGAGATAAAAATGGACATACGTTGCTCAGATCGTGGTACCAACAGCATTAAATCATGCAGGAGTGCATTTAAAAACACTGACAATAATCACTTTTGACACAGAGTTAAAATTAATCACAGTGGAGCATAATACAATTTTAAAGTTGAAAATTTAGGTGGCAGAAAGAAATCAGAAACCTAATACCTTTTTTTTTTTTTTTGATATTTTGAAAGCTTATTATAGTGACAAAATTGCAAAGTACATTTTCATTAACTGAAATAAAACAATTCTTTCTAAAAGTTCCCAGCTTGGATTTTTATTTTAACCATGTGTGCAAGGCATGCTCTAGTAGTTGATGAGCATACAGTATACAGAACAAATGGGCTTTGCTATGACAAGTAACTATGTCAAAGTAGAAGTGTCAACAAAACTGAGACCGATGTCTCCCAAGCTTAAATTCTGCATCAAGAACAGTCTGTACTGTAACTAGCCAGGTTAAAGAAATGTATCCAGTACACAATGTGAGCATGAAAGCAGGAGTTACATCCTCGCATCCCATTTGTACCTGGTACTGTGCTGGTTTGATTCAAAAACCCAAAAGCAATAATTAAACTTTGTTCCAAACTTGAAAAACTAAAGTGGTCTCAAATCCATCACTGTATTCAAGAGTCACATATGACTAAGGAAAGAGGGAGTGCACTGCTTGCTGAGTCAGGTCCAGTATGTCATGATGGCATCTTCATTATGAAGCATTAAGGCTGTCTCTGAAATCTCTCCCTCATTCCCTACTTCTGACATAATGGGCACTACATAGTGGACACATTTAAACACTTACCATGTAGACACTCACACAAAATCGCAGACAGTAAATTTAGTCCACTATAGAGTAAACAGGGAGCGATTTCGGACACAGCCTTCACACAACTCCTCACTCTTTCATTTCCAACAAAACAATTCCTCCAAATATTCCAAAATTCAAAACAACACTTAAAAAAAAAAAATCAGCCTTTCTTAACGGAAACTATGTGAACATCAAAAATGCTGTCCATTGTTGTGTTTTTTTCTGAGCTGCTTAACAGCAACACAGCCAATACTGAAGCAGTATTCCAAGAAATATTTCAGGCAGCTAACACATGACAACGACCAGTATGTCTACCAGTCAGCCCAAACACTTATAGTCTTATTGTCTGTGGAAACTTCACATTTGTACCGGAGCAGCAGCCATTCTTCACAGTCCATTAGTCCACTTAAAAGTCTTCTACAACTATGGCAGCCATGAGGGGGAGTTCAGGTGCTTGTTGGAGGCTTGATGTAAAAGTTATTGAAATTTTAATTCGATTACAAGTCAGTAGAGGATGCTGTGTTTTACTGTCTGAAGTCAGGCTGCAGCTGTGGATGAACAGGCTGGTGCCACAACAAAAATGACTAATGCAATTTGTTCTCAGCACCTGCCACTTTCTATAGCTCACTGTTGTTCATGCACAATGACACACTGGAGAAAATAAAAGTAATCAACAGGCTCATCTGTGTTCTCAACTGCCGATATAATGAATATCAGTGATTAGTGTATACAGTGATCACTAAATCTGAACCAAATTGTAATATCCAATTATGTTTGTTCTTGTTATTCTAACTTTCAGAGTTGTGTTTCAGTGTCCTTCCCTCCAAATGAATAATGAATGATACAGTATCTTTCACACATAGAATGACATTCTAATGAAACCAAATGGTAAATTTGGCATTTTATGCCAAAGTGTAAAGATGCTGAATATTTGAACACACTGAATTGTCAGCAGCTTTGATCCAACAATATGAAATGTGAAAAAAAACAAAAACAATAAAAAGGTAAAAGCAACTAGCAACTGTTGTTTCAGTTGATTCTGTAGTTGATTTGACTTTTATATGTTTTTTTAATAGCTAAGATTTCTTTTTTTACTATGCAGTGCCATGCCAATTAAGGGACCAAAAATATCTTAACGTATGAATTAACAAACTGATTATACTGATGAGTTTAGCGTCGTCTGGAATGGCTCCTGTCTCTACTGTTGCTGTGTTTCCTGTATCTTCGACTGTTATGGCTGTGACTCCTCCTGTCTCTACTTTTATTGCTGCTCCTGGAGCTGCCTCTGCTGTATCTGCGGTGACTATGTCGATTACTCCTCCCCCTGCTGTAGCTCTTCCCACTGCTGCTCCTGCTCCTGTCTCTACTCGAGCTTGTGCTTCTGCTGCTATGGCTGTGCCTCCTGCTGCCATGGTGACTGTAGCTCCTCTTGTGACGACTGGAGCTCCTCCTATGGCGGCTGGAGCTCCTTCTCCTCCTGCTGTGGCTGTGGGAGCGCCTCCCCCCCCCCCTGCTGTGGGAACTCCTCTCTCTGTGGGAGTGGTCCTGCTCCCTCCCTCGCTCCCTGCTATGTCTGCTCCTCACCACCTCTTCCCTCCTTCCCTCCCGGCCTTTCTTCCTGTCCTCCCCTCCTCTCCTCACCTCCGTTGCTCTGTTTTGCCCTGAAACATGGCCCTGCGCGCTAGATTTGGACACATGTTTCTCTTTGCTCTTAGCTGCCTTAACTCCATTCATCCGGCCCAAAACCCCCAACATCACATCAGTGCCACCAGGAACAGAGGCCTCGTCAGGCGTTACAGGTCCAGCCTGGTCCTGCGTGTCCGGAGATTTTGTTGTTCTTCCGTTGCTCTTCTTCAACAGGTTGCAAAGCAGTCTTTCCCTTAGCTCTTTCTCTCGGCGCTGGAGCTCCAGCGCTCGCTCCTTCTCCACCTCCACCCTCCGGAGCTCCTCCTCCTGCTTGCGTCGGCACGCCTCCAGCTGCTGAAGCCGGGCTAATTCCTCCTTCTGTCGTGCCTGCTCCTGCCTTTCCTGTTCCTCGCGTTGAGCCCTCTCTTTCTCCTGTTGTTGCTGCTTCAGGGCCTGTGGAGGAGAAAGCAACAATGTAGGTAAGAAATACTTCACCACCATCGTTTACGGAATTAAAGTCTGTCAGGACAAAACATTATTCTACCTTACTCTCGGTCAATACGACACAACATTACAACATCATCAAATTAATTTTCTGCTGTATATCAAGCAAGATATCAAAACCACCTTCAGCACCTCTAATGCTCATTTATTAACACGTTTTATCTCTGAACAAAATCTGAAGTTCATTGAAGAATGCCCATGTTAACAGGTTAGATCAGCCAAACAGCCTGCGTGAGACACACGACTCATAGCTCACTGCTGCGATACGTCATCTACAATTTTGGTGTCTCTAGAAATAGAGATAAAGGAGAGCGTCTGTTGATAGTCATATTGGACAGTGGAGACCACATGCTCTATATGGCCATAGCAGAAACCCAATGTAGGCTATAATTATATGATGTCAATAATTTAACAGGTGCAGGGCAGTATTTTTCCAGTGTGCTCTGTGTGTGTGTGTGTGTGTGTGTGTGTGTGTGTGTGTGTGTGTGTGTGTGTGTGTGTGTGTGTGTGTGTGTGTGTGTGTGTTAATAATAACGTTAATAAAAACATTTGATTATTGATGGCCATTATCACCATTATCAAAGGCAAACTCAATGCAGAAAGATACAGCTGGCAGTAGCAGTGGTGCAAGCAAAGGCTGTGTAACTAGGCAAGAAATCTAACAACCACATTTCCTAAAATGTCAAACCATTCCTTTAAAGATTAACCCAACATCAACAGCCCTATGTGATGACAGACATGCTACATAAAGTTGAATATTAATGAGGCTTGTGACGTTTGAAATAGTAAAGCTTAACTTAGAGCTCTTCTCAAAAAAAAGCCTTTCCAGTTCAGTACAGAGTTTGCAAGAGTATTAAAGTATCAAATATTAATCACAGTACTGGTATCAAATCAGAAGTGTATTACCAAATGGAGGTGTATTTCTTCTTCGTGTACATGTTGTACCTTTGCCCTGGCCAGCAGTTCAGCTATGAGCCGTATAGATTCCAGGTTGCGCTGAGCCAGCAGTAGCCTCCTCTCCTCCATTGCAATCTTCATCTGCAGCTTCTTCTGCTCCTCCTCCTGCTGTCGCCTCACCCTCTTCAGGTTCCTCCTTTGCTCTCTCTCCCGAAGCTTCTGCTCTCGTTTCCGCAGCCTCTCCTCCTTCTTCCTCTCCTTCTCCTCCTCTTCCTGCTCCTTCTGCTTCCTGAAAAAGGTTAGTTTGGCATCTGTGAATATCTGCTGGTAGGATGAGTCATTTTCTATTCTTACTTGTCAAATAGTACTACATAGTACTGCATTATTTCTCTTCTCAGTACCGAGTACAGTTCTGAGTTAATATTTCAACACCAGCAATAATGATTAATTAATCTACTAAACAAAATTGTTCCTTTCATCGTACTAATGTTGAATTCCCAAACACTCACTTAATGCTCCTCATACAAAGCTGCTATCCTCTCACAGAAAGGTAGTTGACAGTAGGTGAGAAAAAGTTACAGTCATATTTAACAATTACACTTAATGTATTTTCATTTAAAGCATGATTTTTATCTTTATACTTGATTATTGCTCAGTTTAAGAGCCCTTTGCTCTACCAAAGAAGAAACCAAGCACTTTGCAGTGAGACACACTGTCAATTTCTGGAAAAAAAAAGCAACAGCTTAATTTCATTGTGTAAAAACTGGGAAGGAAAACGTTTCGTTATGTTTCGTTAAACCTTGCTCTGGCATTTTTGGGCCAGAATCCAGAACCTTACAATTTTTACTTTGGATTATTTTGTCAGAGATGAAGTCACGAAATGATGAACCAATATATTGTTCATGACACTGTACTGTTGGTTGTTTCTTGTTGCTTAGATTTAAGTTATTCAATCATATTTATGAGCCAAACTGTGAGTAAAACTGTATTTTGGAATATTTGCTATCTGCTGGCCAAGGTGAATGATTTTCGCCAACTATTTTAATTTAATGTCTCTCCCATAAAATATGAATGCAGTATGTGTTAGAGGTCACTACCCTGTTTCACACTGGGGGCTCTTTTTCATTATAAACAAGTTTTCCATTGCTCTTCCATCATACCTCTCCTCCTCCTTACGACGCTCTTCCTCTTCCTTCTCCCGTCGTTTCTGCTCCTCTCTCTGCCTCTCCAGCTCCTGCAACTTCATCCTGTCCAGGCTCCTCCTCTTCAGAGCTGACTCACTCAGGTGCTTGCTCGTGTCAAAAGTCACCTGGACAAAACACAAAAATGCACACATTTTTATGGTGTACATAGGACAAAGTGCAAGATCATCTTTGTTTTTGTAGAAGAGTCTCTCTTTCAAATACTATAACAGTTTGGAGATCTAGTAACTTTTATTGCAGTTTTAATTAATCTGCTGTATCTTTTTGTATTGTGGAGCCTGTCGAATAAAACCAGTCTCATTAGTCTTGTCACAGTGGAGAGTAAAACAAATCAAGTCAGATTCAGTAAATCCAACAAATGGTTGCTCTAAAAGGTTTAGGGCTATTCTGACATGGCAGATCATTCCTTCCAGTGAAGAACAGATGGTAGAAAATGTAAATTACAACATTGTAGTCCACAGTATATAGTTGGATAATGTAATGATGATTACCACAGTGCCTTGGGTAAAACTGACTCAGAGTCAGGATCCTGCTGATCAGGTTGGGTTATGTCATACGTAAGAAAGATAAAACTCCTCATGTTCTGGCAAGAGCTACTACAAATATTAGATGCCCTCTATTTTTGTATTTACGTAATTTAACAACAGAACCAACTTACAATATCTTATTTTGTGTCTCATTTCTTTTATACAGACCCTCCTTTGCTTCTTCAACCCTAATTTAGATTTCACACTGAGGCTTTATTCTGTGGATTAAGAGACCTTACTCTCCTCTACCCCCATTACCTTGGAAATAATGACGAGGCAGATTCAATTCTCATTCCACTAAAAGGTCTTAAAGCTGCTATGTGACTCAAGCGACACAATCTAGTTGCAAAATTTCAGCAGTGGCAAGTCACTGGTGGCCCCACGAACAAAAAAAGAAGTCTCATTATACACCATTAGGGGTGGTATCAACGAGGTTGTGTAGTGTGTCTTTTTTGTTCTGTTTAATAGTAAAACAATTAAACTTCAACTGCCTTGTTTAAGAAGATTGTTGTTGGTCTATAATTTCTTCTTGGCACAATGGTTTCATTGAGGAAAAAGACGCTTTCTTTACATATGTATGTATGTATGTATGTATGTATGTATGTATGTATGTATGTATGTATGTATGTATGTATATGTCTATTTTCTGCCATAGGCATTATTTAATATCAAAAATTAATAAAGAATCGATAACTGATCATTAATTTTCCCGATGATTGAATAAGGAAAATTTTTATGAATAGCCCATCCCTATACACCATAACGACGAGTAACTCTGGAGTTTTCTCAACACTCCCTAAGATTGTGTTGATCCATTTCTGTCTCTAGGACTGAAGGTCTAAAGCTCAGAAACGGGAAGCTTTTAGGAGATTGGACATCAATTTACTTAACCCAAAAGTTCTTGGAGGTGCAGTCGAATAATGGGGAAACAAAATATCTTTCACTGTGTTCTTCCCATTGACATTAACATGCCACAGTGTAGCACTATAAGACTACAGCAGCCTGCGGTACCTTGATGTTGCAAGCCACTGCCTTTCCATCGTCTCCTTTGAGCATCAGCTTCATGCCGCGCATAGTGTCCATGGCCTTGGTGAAGCCACAATATTCCTGGTACTGGACATAAGCCTCAAAGTTCAGATGGCCTCCAAAGCTGAATGTACTGAAGTTCTTGTCCAGCATTTCCTCTCTGTATGGGTCCAACATGGGGATGTCAACATTTCGCACCTACAATTAAAACAGTGGCATATTGACAAAAATTAAATAACGTCATCTTTTTGGTGATTTTGGACATTTCTTACAATATTTAACTACGGTGTTTACATAAGTGTTTAAGTGTCAAATCACTTAAATATAATGAAAACAATCATAGCAATGTCTTTGAATTTAATTGATTGAGCGAAACAAACTTTATTAACTTCTACTTATTACAAAACTCAATACATGCAGAATTGGCCAGTTTGAGGGGGGGATTACAGCTACAGTGATTTCCACACCTTCATTATTTCACCTAAAGTAAGGATCAGTGTTCCAAAAACCTATAGTAATTAGATAATGTATATAGAGATACTGTAAAACCAGTCTTGTCTATGCTAAATTAGCAGGCCAAAAAAATCAAAAGTAGGTCAGTAATGTCACATGTGGTGTGTTATGTCTGCAGTGGAGGGCGCATTAATAGTTGTGCCTTACTGCCTAGTATGAAATGCAGAAACAGAAACATGTACCACCTTGCCAAAGGCCTGGAAAACAGCAATGAGGACCTCTTCAGAGGGCCGGTCCGGGTACTGGCTGTCCTTCTGGCTGAACCATCGGCAAGGAAGTCCCTCCAGATGGATAGTGTCAGGTCTCTCTCCTGGCAGTGTCTCATTCATGTCCTTGGCGTCGCGGAAAAATGAGTCCCAGTCATGACGTGTAGGGAAGTCGACCTTATTCTCTACTGCGCGGACCTGAGAAAGGAAAGGGAGAGCACTGCTGTACACTCACTCACTTTCCAGTTTGTTAGGGAAACCTAGCTAAAAGTAATGCAGTCTAATACAACAGCCCTGCAATAAACCAAGGTTTAAATAAATATGGTCATTATGGCCATTATGGAAGCTGTACTTTGCGGTGCTGTTTAATTGTATTGCATTATACTGAGATGTGTTTTTAATATTTAGTCTCTTGTTGATATAAATGGGATGGTCAAAATATTAGGAACATCTGTCAGTTTACCACAGTGCAACTCAAGTGCAGCGCAAACTAAAACCTTCAAAATAACCAAGAAACTACCAATTACAAATGCTGCAATCAGCAAAATAACCTGAAAAGTTTCACCATGAGGTCTGCGGTCCACTATACTGTCAGCCTTACCTTCAGTACATCAGTAAATCCACTGAGTTTGATGCTCTTCCCATCCAGACGGCTCAGCAGGCTCTTGACCACCGTCTTGTTTTCCACCTCTCCCTCAAAGCGGATGAAGTCCATGGTGCTCTTGGAGATTCTCAGCGCTGAAAACTGCTCTGGAGCTACCATGGCCTTTACCCTCTCCATTACCTCCCAGTTCGAGATGCTCTTGCCTGGGAGCTTGAGCTGGGGCAAAGCCACGCTGACGGTCATTTTGGCAATGGGCTTGAGGTACAGGTTGTACTCAGTGGAGAGGCACACTGCCTCTGTAGTATCATGGACGATGGTGGTCATTGTTGCAGATTGATGAGGAAGCTGCAATAAGTTTGGAGAAAGAGTAAGGACTGTTAGCATATGTTTTCTGTTATAGAAATAACCCTGAATTAGTGGACAATTACCTTCCCGTGTATTGGAAATGAAAGCAGAAACTGTGGTTTACAAATTCAAGGTTATGATTCAAACTGTCCACATGCTGCACTATCATGTAAAATTCAACAATATGAAATATCAATTCGCAGCATTGTTGCAAACACACAATGCTACGATATGAATTAAAACCATTAAAAAAGAAATCACAAAAAAGGGGTGCCATTTTATGCTCGACACACACCTAATTCAGAAAGCCGTATATACACTTCAAACTTGTTTGTTTCGCCTGTCTATCGACAGATTTGTTTCTGACATCTAACTTTAACTAGTGCCTCGTCTCACTAAACCCTCAAGCTTTACTCAACGAAGTTAGCTAGTTGCTAACATTGCCATCAAGGTTTTATGTTGTTTGTGGTGACCCGCTGAAACGCCACCCATCTCTGGTTGCAACGTTACTAGCATAACGACAGCTGTAAACTTTAGCTAGTATTAGATCCTGAAGGGGGATAAACTCAAGGACTGTTGAATGAAACAAAAAACTAATGCCAACAATTCATAGACTATACTGGACAAAACGTTAGCACAACGTGCGGGGTGTTTTGGTTACTAACAACAGCTAACGTCAGGGTTATTTCCAGCTAGTTGCGGGCTAGTTAGCTTGACGTGCTGTGTAACTATCGGTTCAGCTTTCAAACAACGTCCGACTACTTTTACATGCCGTTATACAAACGTCAGGCATTACAAAATATTTAACCAACACTTACCTAACAGAAGTTAGCCTCCTGCAACATAAAAATCAACACACCTATTTTATTGATTTACAGAGAGCAAAACAGTGCCGGAAAATAATTGAAAAACACCAACAACATGCCACTTCCGCATGCTGTGAACTTTGACCTTAAAAACAGCAGCACTGTGGTCGCGTTATTTCGGAACAGTGACACCGTGTGGAACAAAGTGCACAAGAACCTATATTTAAGAAGAATGGATCATGGGTTGATGTGGCTTTCTGATAAAGATTTCTACAAAATCAACCACATTCATTCGAAATAAAAACCACACATTTTCATAAGAATTCATCCCCTCTAATATAACACACCAAAATCATAAGTGGAGCAGTTAGTTAGTTTGACAGTCACATAATTAGTTAAATGGAAATCATCTGTGTGTAGTCAAGGGATTTCATTTTATATACATCTCTACCTGCAAACAAGTATTAAGTATTTAATATTAATAACAAATTCATATTACTTTGTTGAGATCACTTTGGCATTAAATGGTACCTTCTGATGATTGGCATAAAAAAAGCCTTTAATTTAATGTTGTAAAACAATAAAACATGTAAACCTCTAACAGGGTGAAATACTTTCTATAGGCCCTGTATGTTACAAGACAAAAGGACGTCCAACAGTGCACATTTGAAAATAACTTGATGCCTATTTGGCACAGTCAGTCACAAGTTAGGCTTTGTATGAGTGTCATCATCACTGTGGTAACTATTTGGGGTGAGAGGGAGAGATACGGATAGACTGGACATGGATTAGTGCAACAGTGGAGGCTCCAGGCAAAAAAGTTGGCACAGTTTCTCTGAAAAGATGGCAGAGGAATTTACATAATAGGCATTAGCCCCTTCGCTGTGTATGTAGGTCAGTAGCTGCAGTCAGAGAGCCTCTCTACTCTGTCCAGATCAGCAGTCATCTAACAGATAGGCTGCCTAAGGCAACTCTGGAATCCACAGGCCGAGGAAAAATCATCCCTTCAGTGACCTCTATAAATCTTTATTTGCCTTGTAGAGGAGGGCAAATAACAGAGATCAGAGAACATCAAAAGAGCAGACTCTGACTCTACAGCATTTACATTTACACAAGCAACACATTTGTGGTATGTAATGACCGTTTACATGTAATCCTGCTTTAAAATGGTTGTTTTGATCTGGTAAACATGAAATACAGAACAGGCCCAGACATGAAGCTAGAAGAACATCAGTGCCACAAGAGGATTGTCAGAGTTGTAGTTATCTATCCCATCACAGGGGCTGAACACATTGGTTGGAAATGTACCATATCCCTCTTACACATATGCCTTATGAATATCAAATGAATATTATCTGCTTTCCGCATTGATAATTTTTATCCCAGTGACTGGATAACATGCTAAACTACATGACTAATAGAAAAAGAAAATAATCAAAACTACTTGTCCTATGTCACCTCTTATCATGAGCAATATACAAATAAAACTTGGAAAAACTGATGTCTGCACTTGAAATTGTTCTGAACTTGCATTGCATGTTACATTTTATATCCTAACCCCAACATTTGACCCAGACTAGACCAGTGTAGACTCAATCACACAATCTTTAAAGGACGTTTATCCTTGTAACAATAGAAGTGCACATACACAGACACAGACACACACACACACAGACACACACACACACACACACACACACACACACACACACACACACACAACACAACAGGTGCAGTATGAGGACTGGCTGTGCATATATCAGGTCCAGTGTTACACAGGCAGCTTGCGGACAGGAAGCAGTGGACATGCTGTAAATGCTGGATTAAAGCTGGCACAGAGGGTCATCAGATCATCAATTATTCAGCACCACCAGACAAGGACAATCCCTTGGTGTCAGCAGGAATGACAGATGAAATAGCGTGCTTCATTTGGGGCGTTAGTGCATTCTGGTTGGATGGCACACCAGCATTCATGATTTTTGATTTGCTATTCTGACATTAAAATGATCATTTATAAATAGTGAATATCATCCCCCTCCCCTCCCCCAAAAGAAAAAAAAAACTTATGTCTACTAACTGAGCACTGACTTGAACATTTGAACTGAAGGGACTACTGACTCTAGTTTTATGCAAATAATTATTGCTTTATCATATCCAGGGATGAGAATGAAGAGAAAAATGGCAGTGACAACAGTGTTTTCACACCACATAACAACTTCACAGTATTTCACAAAGAAGACAGACACAATGTCTTACAGACTTAAAAATTAACAGTGCACAGCATTTACATTTCCCATATTCATGCAGATGAAAAAGTGATGTCAAAGTACATCTGTATAATACATTTCTACATCAAAATGCGTCAACCACACAATTACATGAAGCCCTATGATTTGAGTACAAATGTTACAAAAAGGAACATTCATGAAATCTAGGATGTGTCATTGAGTAAGTAAGGTTCACATATTTGGGAAAACAGTCAAAAAGTCATGTGCTCCTCAGCTACATACAGCATATTCTGGTCTAGACTCTTCAATATTCACAGATGAAACAGACATAGTTAAAGAGCAAGTGATTGTGTACATGCAAAGTTAGATCTACACATGGACAGTATAGACCTTATATTTAATATCATATGATGCAGTTTGTTTGATTGCATATTTACTGTAAAACTGATCAGTGCCATGCTGGGTGTCAATGTCGATGGTTGTCTAGACCTGGACCAATTCTCATTTACATTATGTATCTATTCTCTGGGAATTAAACTGTAAATTGTGCATGAAAATGGTGAATCTGTGCCATTATTCAGAATAATTTTTGGAATGAAATTAGTCAAATATATAGAATTAAATATCTTAAAACACTGTGAAACACAGCAACTGACCTTCAGAGACTCATACCACTTAAACTCCCCCACAAAGAAGAAATGTAACAATAAGTAAACAAGACTCCGTGGATCTGAGGTACATTATGGTCAGTAGAAAAAGGTATATAGACATTGTCAGCTTTCCCTGTGCTTCCACCCTTTGAAACAGTGATAGTGATCAGTCCTTATATAGGTAATTGGATCCAGGTAAAGCCATGGTAGCTTGGAAATATTCCCCTATCAGTGTAACCAGCTAACTCTTGACAACTATTGATCAAAATAGGTGAAAAGTTATAGAATAATTACATTGTCTCATTTATACTTTTATATATGCAGTAGATTACATACATACATCTAGATTTGTAACAATTTGGTCACCCACTTAAATTGTGTATACAATATTAATATGTAAATATGAACTGGGACCAAAAACAGCTGTCGTGGTTTCCTCCCTTTATCATCAACCATCGTCAAAGTGACAAGTGCAAACATGATGACTGTACATGGTTGTTTAAACAGACAAGCATTCAGTGGTTACAGCACTTTGAATAAGAAAATCTGCTACTTGAAAATAAAAAAAAGGACTCATTCACATTACAGAAATATACTAAAAAAATTCAGCACCAACCAATCACAGGAGGTTGAAATATAGAAAATAAGTTCTAGAAATATATTAATTTACTCTGCAAAAACATGATTGTATTGAATGAAACCAAGTGCTATTTTCGAATCCCTTGCCACTGTGAGTGAAAACTAAAGTGAAAACCAAATACAATCGTTCCTGTTGCTTTTGCATTTGTGTGAACATTGTTCTAGTGTAAGGTCTTAAACATGAAAAAAACGATGTGATATTTGCTACCTGCTACCTACAGAGCCTAAAAAATATAGAAAAACCCATTAACACAAAAATCAAGTTCAAAATGAATTCAAAGAGCAGTAGATCAGATTTCAATCAATGAACTGTCGCAGCAAAAAAATGAAATAAAATAAAAAATCTACATGAACAGTGTCCTCCAGTTAGTAGTCAACATAAGCTTAACAACTGCAAAAGGAACAAAAATAAGTTATATTATTTTTAGAAAAACATATTTGTGGTTATTTATTTAAAATTCTATAATAATAAAACTTTAAAAACAGCTTGATACTATATATTAGGATGTGTACTATTAATTTTGGTCACAAAAATGTCTGACCTGTCAGCTTATGAAGGTGAGTAAACTTTATCCTGTAAAACATGTCAAACTGGTTTAAATATCTATGTCGCTGGTTCACACAGATGTAAATTCATCCAAACAGGTTGGACAGCGGTCGGGTTCGGAGAGGACTGCTGGGGAGCTCCTCTCCTCTTCCCACCTCCCCCGTGTCGCGAAAGGAGGCGCTGTGGATGATCTGGGCTCGGTGGCGCCCTCTGTGAAGCCGGGCGTTCAGCCGGCTCAGAGAAGACTTCCTCTGCATTCCCCCTTTGGTCTTCCCAGTCCCGACTGCCTCCTCTGCTGCCTCAGCTGGTGGATTCAGCAGCCGCAATGGATTCAGATTGCCCTGGAGGACTCTAGGAAACCTCCAGCTGCGTCCTCCTCCGCCACTGCTGCCATTAGTGTTTTCGCTGTCTGACTCGGCACCCGGTGAGGTGACCACTCCTTCCTCCTGCAGGTCAGCGGCCAGCGGTGGGGAAAGGTACTGGATGGCTCGCCTCCCGCTGTAGTCTCGAGCCTCAGGGTCTGCCTCCCAGTCTGACAGCAATACACGAACCACCTGTCAATCACAGCAGACACATACGAGGAAAATTCAGAGAGAGACACGATGCATCCCAAGACATCCCCATGTCTTAGCGTAGGGAAGACTTGTCAGATTGTTACCTTCATTATTAGACCTATTTACAATGGGCTGTGTTTGGGATTAAGTTAATAGCAAGTGAAAAAAGTGAAGAAAAAAAACAACAGTTGATATAAATTAAGTTAGTTCTTTCTTTCCATGGATCATCTCCTATGTTTTGAAGAAGACCTCAAATGATTCTAGCTGGAGCAGACAGACTGAGTGTATTATCTGCTGCATCACTGAGCAGATGTAACACATTACACCCCACCATCACCACCAGCAGCATCGAAGCAACCCACCTGTGTGTGTCCATGCATGGCTGCCAGGTGTAGCGGTGTGTATCCAGCACTTGATCTCACGTTTACATTCACAGGTATAGCATTCTCTTTGGCAAAGGCCAGCAGCTGGGAGAGCAGCTCAGCTTTGCCCTGCTTGGCCGCCCAGTGGAGGCAGGTAAAGCCGGTCACAAAGTCTCTCTTGGCCACTAGGCTGGGTTCGACAGACAGCAGGGGCTGCAGGCTTTCCCATAGGCCATCTGAGGCGCACAGCATCCACTCGTGCTCTAGTGGGTCCAGGGTCACTGAGGCACAGTCTTCATCAGTGGCTGATGAGAGGAGTGATGCCGAATCGCCATCACTCCGAACTGAGTCCCGGAGGCGTGAGCCACGATTGATCAGAGACCTCCGGACCTGCAAAAGGAAGAACATGGGAGAGAAAAAGGAGTACACTTTACATCAATGGTTTTGTATTTCACCAGATAATGTCTGTGAATGTTCTCATTCGTCCAGGTCATAGTTATCTCTCTCTCAAATTAAATCGAAGGCAACTGGACTTGTATTTGTCTGTGGAAGACGTTTCGCCTCTTATCCAAGCGGCTTCATCAGTTCTTATGTATTGGTCTCTCTAGTCCGCACTAGTCTGACTCCACCAGTATTATCCAGCAGATAATACAGTAGCTCTTTATCATGCTCTTCACGGGTTCTTAGTTGCACCATAAATAACAGTTTCAAAAGACAAGATAAACAAAAGTAGGCCTGATATCAGGGCACTGACCACTATTGTTCATCACAATAAAGCATTTAACTGGAGTAAATTGTATAAAGACATCTTTGAGAATCAACAAATCACATAGTCAGTTTTGTCAGTTGTTGCCTTCTGATGATCATCAAAAGAATCTTATAGGTCAACCTGCTCCAGAGTTACGGCAAACTGTGTTACATCACTGAGTCAAATCACCCAGTTACATAAGACAGATAACTGTTGCTGTGGAATTACTTGCCATGCATATTGCATTTGTGATCACACCCCAAATGGTGATTTATTTTCTATCAGCTTTCAAAGGCTGTGTTTGGGCCATGCTGCCACAGTGGCAAAGGCAGAGGAACCTGCTCAGTTTCATCTATGAACAGCTGTGTGCCATTCAGGTTTTTGGTGCACACCCAGAGGTGAAACACCTGCCATGACATCACAGCTTTAGGTGTTGCCAAAAGTATAACATGGTTCAAAGTTTGAAACAATCAAAGCAGTGCTGCAGCATTTTTCTGTTACGTCTGAATCAGTCAGTTTTTAGAGGTTGAAGCCGATAAACAGATGTTTTTACAAGCTTAGACTGTTACTTGTTCTAACTGCTATGCCCTGTAGAGAGCTTTGTAAAGTTGACATACAAATAAATTGTGACTTAACAATAATAATCTACTTAGAAGCTTTTGTCATGCTAGAGAAACGTGGTATCCTACCTGAGGAGAACTACTCATCATCAGCTCTATGAAGTTCCTGCGACTTCCCTTGGGCGTGTTGATATCTCCAACAGGGTCCAGCCCTTCCAAGGCGCTGTCTTCAGATAGGCAGCTGGTCAGCATGGCACGCTGGGAGCCTTTGGACACTCTACGTGCCCCTCTCACTTGCCATCCAGGGTGAGCCTGGTCCACATCTTGCATCCCAATAACTGGGGCTGACTCTCGCCTCCTCCTGTCCCTCAGCTTCACCTCTCCACCAGAAGTAGGTGTCCCTGTGTTGGCCTTATTCTGGGAGGGGGTTGCAGGTTGCCCATTGCCATTTGACTGCTTGTCATTGTCCAGGCCTGCACCAGGTTGGCTGGGTACTCCTGTGAAACCATTGAACATGTTTTTTACATTATCACTCAGCTCTGATACTGTAAGATGTGGTTGTTGATTACATGTACATGTAGAATTGAACAGGTTGTTGCATAATATAAACTCAAACGCCATTATATCTTGCACAGGTAAAGTAGAATCCTGTTAATGATATTAATGATCTCTGGTCATTATTGTTATCATGAATTGTTATGTTTTACTGCATCTTTGGCATTAAAGAGGCCACAGTTAGAGGGCATAATGATGGGAGTTTGGCAGCTTTAGTCTAAACATATACAGAACAATGGCCCAACCTTGGTACTTGATATTGTTCATCATCTGGTGAGGAGACAGTACAACCTTACCAAATTAGTAAATAACTAGACATACAGTAACACAAATATAAATATAACCTTGGTTAAATGTGTAAAGACGAGCTGTAATCAATTTAGTGGTAAACAAACAAACAAATCACGGACAAAACAAAGGATAATATCAGATAAAATGAACACAAATGGTGCATCTCCCTCACCTGTTTGGTGTCCGTTGTCAGGGTTGCCGTTGACACTGTTGTCCAGTGTCTCCTGGATATTGCCGTTACACTCTGCTTGATCGTAGCCGTCCGCGTCCGCACGCATCACCGACCCCGCGCTGCTTTCAGTATTCAAACACACAAATTTCACACCGTTTTCCACCTTCACGAAACCCACGTTGTCCACGATGCGTTTCAGCACCTCGCGATCCACCTCTTCCTTCGACTGGTCATTTTCCCCCAGACCTGATAGGAAATGATCGATCAGCTCCATCTGTTGGACCCTCCCTCCTCTCTCCATCAGGAACTCCTGCACGGCTTGCTCCATGCACTGGGACGCCATCATCATCCTTGGACGGCCCAAACACCGCGCAGCGACAATCAAGTTGCACAAGGACGTTTCAAAATGACTCCATGTTCATGTTGTTGTCATTCACTGGGGTCGGTGACAACGGATGACAGCATCTTCTTCTCCGGCCTCCTCCTCTTCTCCATGGGGAAGATCTGTGTCGTGCTCCAGCAGATAGGGGTCGCACGTCGCTGAAACAACTGAGCAAACCGCTCACCACTGCAAAATTCATGCGGCGTTCCCGTGCTCCTCGTAAAATCAAACTTTCAATAACTCGAAAAATGGACCATGTAGTAAAAGTACAGATTTTTGGAGAAAAGTGTGGAATTATTTAAAGTCGATTTAGCCATGATGGCGTGAGAATGATTTGGAAATATACTTTGGACCAGTATTAAATAACAAACTGATTTTGATTTGTAATAGCTAACTAAAACACTTGATAATCTGTTTTAACAAGACAAACCATGGTAATCTTGTTGGTCAACGGCATAGACTGTATACAGTCAACAGATACACAACAAATGGAAGTCCATGGAAGCTTAATTAAATGAGTGAAAAGTGGAAAGTTACAATTGTTCATCGTACACAGAATGATGTAATGATAGTAACTAGCTTGGTAAAATTAATGTTTTATCCTAAAACCTGAGTTAGCTTTGGATTTCTTTCTTTCAAAACTAACCGAGCAGGCAAAATCAAGTACTTTTCAAAAGATTCTCATACTTCTTGTTTTTAAGGTCAAAACTCAAGTCTGACAGCATCATCATCAGGAGTAACTGCATAGTTGTAATGATTTTGGATTTACAATTTTTTCTGACAGTCCGCAACATACCATGGAAGCGACTGGGAAAATTAAGTTGCGCCGTACCATTATGCAAAGAAGGGGGGTGATATGTATTAATACAGTAAATGAATATTATTCAACTGCAGTTTCCTAAAGTTGTAGCATATTTTGCTCCTTGAAAATGATATATGTTTGAATCCCCTCACAGTTTGTCTAATTTTTGCAGAATGTTAGTTTTAAAGCAAATGTACAAACTAAATACTTCACCTAATTCCTACGTTGTTGTGGGTGGTGTAGTCTGTCCAGTTGTCGACGGTAGACGCTGTGAGGCGGTCCTGACCAAGATTCTAAAAAAAGCTGTCAGTCATTAGTTAGTTTTGTTGTATTTTTTGTAAAACTATTTGGGGATATTAAATTCTGTCTAAAACTATGGCTTCTTCGGATGTTGCTCGGCAGCCGGTTAGTATTTTCCTTCCTTGTGGTTGACAAATGACAGTTTTCTTGACAGTTGAGCAGGGAGTGTCCAGGGCTACCATTATGTTAGCTCCCGCTAGCCTGATGACTAGTTTCTGTCTTTCAAGTTACTTTTTTAGATTAGTTTCGTTTAGTTTAAATTTGGCAGGGACGTCGACATATATTCAGAATATCATGCGGGTCTTTTCAGCTTTAATTTAAAACTTTTAAGGAGGGATTCCGTATTACAACTTCAATCAAAATACACCCGCGGGGGGCACTAGCTGGCTAACTTAACCATTCAGCAGTCAAAAGTTTCTGAAAATAGTCGTGTGCTACATTTACCGACACAGAAATTGGCAAAAATGTAGCTAGTTCATGTAATAGTAGTAACCTTTGTAGGTAACGTTTGCTAGCTAGCTTAGTGGCTAGCTCGATAAGCACCACAAAATCGCTACATTTTTGAATGAAAGTTGGTGGCCACGGACGTTGCTGATACTTGTGTGATCGTTAATCGTTTCTCACATAATCATCATAGAATAAAATGATCGAATGTTGGAGGTCTATCATGAGGAATATCATACCAGGCTCTACTCTGGATTTTTGATTAGTTCAGAGCGGAGCAGGTCAGAGGAGGACAACACAGTTTAGGAAGATTGGTTCATGTTAGTGTTTTCCCATGTTTCTGTCTGATTGGGTGAGATACTGAGCCACTTGTAAATGCAATACTCCAAAATCACAAAGCCGTTTTAATTCTAAGAAAGTTAGATATACTAAAAAAGGTAATGTATTGAGCAGTAATTGTGTAGGAATATTTAAAATTAATATCTATCTTAATATGGATTAGTGTGCATCCCTACAATAAAATCTCAATGTATTAAAGTGATATGTCAGTTACTCTTACAATTTCCCCTACAACAATACTCATTGGATGTAAGTGAACAAATTATAAAAGTTTATTATTTTTTGTTTGTTCGCTTTTTTGTTTTGTTGCTAAGATGATCCCACCTCCCTGGGATAATCCTTTTTCTTATTTTGTGAAGAAAAGAATCTTTAGGCTCTTGAGGATGATCTGTTTATTTGTGTGATTTCTTCTTCAGGATAAAGGCGTCCGGCCCCTGTCCTTGGCAGGCCATGTGGGGTTTGACAGCCTTCCAGATCAGCTTGTCAACAAGTCCATCTGCCAGGGCTTCTGCTTTAATATTCTCTGCATTGGTACATACACATTATACACGCTGTTACTTAAATTGTCACATTCTGAGGATGTTACTACTAATGTCATGGGTGCATGTTATTGTTTAGGTCCGTCTGATTTTAAAGCTCCTTTTCTGTTTCCCCTTAGAATACATTCTGGCCATAGTGGCAATGATTGATAACTTAGTATCCATCTGGTTAATGTGGCTTTGTGTTAGTCATTGACATGAGGTCATAGCAGCAGTGCTGTGATAAGGAGGATACTGGTTCAAATCTCTCAGCCAGCTGGTAAAATGGTTTGGGTGTTCAGACATCCCTCATTTAGCAAAGGAGAGTTTTACGGTTATTAGATTTCTTAGCATTGTTGATGCTCAGAGTATAGTATTGCATCTCAACTGTGAAGTTTAATTATTAAAAATGTTTTCACATCTCTTTATGGCTCTAGGTGAGACCGGTATCGGCAAGTCTACTCTGATGGACACTCTATTCAATACCAACTTTGAGAACTTTGAGTCATCCCACTTTGAGCCTCAGGTGAAGCTGCGGGCCCAGACCTACGACCTGCAGGAGAGTAATGTCAGATTACGCCTCACTGTGGTCAACACTGTGGGCTTCGGAGACCAAATGAACAAACAAGAGAGGTGGGAGAAGGAGAGTGTGTGGAAGGGGAAGAAGAGTGACAGTCTCAGAGTGTGTTCAAAGAGAGTTTGAGTGTTGACAAGAGTGAATGTGATTAAGAATGAAAGCTTAGGTAAACATCTTATTTTAAATTCACTGCAGTTGTGAACTAATCTTTGTTTACTCACATCACTGATCAGCCTTATGTCTCTTCTGTAGCTATCAGCCGGTGGTGGACTACATCGACAGGCAATTTGAGAGTTATCTGCAGGAGGAGCTAAAAATCAAGCGCTCTCTTCACAACTACCATGACTCGCGAGTCCACGCCTGCCTTTACTTCATCTCACCCTCAGGTCATTCACTCAAATCTCTGGACCTGGTCACCATGAAGAAACTAGACAGCAAGGTAGGCAAATGATCACTGTGTGTGTGCGCTAAAGGGTCAGACCAGTGTTGTATAATACATCAAGTGGATTTTTAATATTCACTTTGATGTAGGATTTCTGAAGCAACATTTTGAGAGGATCTTTGTATCCCAGATAAGGATGGACAGGAATTTTTTTTAATTCTAAGAGGAATATCTAGAAATTGGACAAATGGCTCATTTTAATGGAGTAACCAAGAATATACTGTGCAAGTTGTTTCATGCATTAATTATATTAGATTAAGAATTAAGTTTAATGGGTTATTCTTGAGCTAGAAAACAGCAATTGACAAGAATGATTGTATCAAAAGATCTACAACAAGCGAGTAAGTGGACTTTGAGTGGAAGCTGTTCTGTCAACTGCTGTTTCCAAGGTGAAGGACAAACTGTTTAGCTCATTTATTGATATACAGTATTGGCTCATGGGAGATTATATTCACTGGACATTATATTAACCTTTTTAGGATTAGTTGCTGAAACTGTTGCTGCATAACACTCCCTTGTGAACTCATTAAATCAAATGGGCTGTCGATCGAGATTCCAGAACATATGAATCATCGCTGTTTGGCATGTTGACCGACATTCCGTGTCACATGCTTTTGTTTCATTGTGGGAAATTTGAAGGGCACTAAGGTGAATGTGAGCATTACATGAAAAATTGATTATAAAGTGATGTGTATGTGCAGCGGGAGGTTCTGGATATGGGCCTATGCTGTAGTTGTTTCTAGACTTTCCTGTGTTTTTTTTTGTCTGACTGTTGGGAGTGGTTCACTATCCAACTGGCTAAAACCCCTCCCACAGCTCTTGAAGTGGTCAGAAACTTTCCCATGCTCTCTGTGTGCAGTGACTTCGTGTTTCTTTGTGTGTTTGTGTGATTTCACTGCTTTGGAGTGTCAGTAGCCCCGGATTTGCGTGTGAATGGAGTAGAAAAAGCAGTGGAATGCTGTAATCACTTCACACACACACACACTCGAGTTGTCCTTTTGTGTCACTGTACGGATACAAACAGAAAGAGCCATTTGTTGAATGTGCAGGACTGACAGAAAGACAGTCCATCACTCAGACAGCTGTTGGAACAGATCTCCTAGCATTGTTTTGTTTTCCCTGCTGGGATCAGTGTGTATTCTGTATGTGTGTACGGGTGTGTGGTCTGGCCCAGAAGCTTGTGTAGTGACAGCAGCTCATTCCAGGCCTCTATCTCTGGTACAACAAGACGACGGACAGACAGGAATGTGGGATGACCTGGACAGCAGAGAGGGCTACTGGGCCAGAAATAACATCAGTAGACTTGGTTTATGTAACACATCTAAAAGCAGTTCTTAAAAAAGAATTTTACATAAAGAAATAGAAACAAATACTGCTGGAATAGTCAAAGTTTTTGTTGAATTGCACTGATTCTTGTATTTTGCCAGAGTCAGACTAATTGGTGTCTTTTTAATGCTTCTGCATGTAGTGCTATGATATGTTGGTCAGTGAGATTAGCTTGTTTTAGCCCAGTTACTAGTTAAGTTTAGGGAAGTTAACCCTACCAACAAACTGTTATACAAAACTGCCTTCAAATGAACAATAAGTACAATGACAACACCACGGTGGCTATATTGATATGATATGTAATTTTTGGTATTGATGAATTAGTGGCTATGATTTATCATAATCAATGGAAAAGATGCTCT